TGGCTGCCCTCGAGCGGCTCTGTGCAAGCCCGCACCTCTCTGGGAGCCTTTCTGGGACCCTTGCTCACCTCCACAGAGTAGTTGCTTGCAGGAGACACGCTCTCCCGTGCTGAAAGCAGGTAACAGCCTGGGTTTACTCCAGCTCCTCTGGGACCTGTTTCATGCCTCTGTTTAGTTTATTAGGAAAGCGAATGTCTCCAACCAGCTGATGACAGCATTTAAGAGAGACAGAGCTCTCTGTGTTGAGGTAAACAGCTTATTGTAAAACCATGGGGAGAAGAAATGCGTTCTTGGTGACTCATCAGGCCACACCTATAAAAGTGGTTGGGAGTATTCTCGGATGCTAGAATGAGACCACCTGTACCATTACACAGCTTGGGATATGGTGTCGGCCCAGGCCAACCAGCATTTTTTGCAAATAACTGCCCATCGTGGCTCTGGATCAGCCCACTCCTCTTTGCAGGTGGCCCTACACCTTGCAAGCTGAGGTTTCCTCAGTGCAAGCCCTGGCTGCGCCGTGCCCCAACCCCTCCGTGCCCAGGAGCATCTCATGCAGGGTCTGCACGGCCGGTGTAGCCTAGGAGCCAGCACTGGGGCCCTCAGCCTGCACTGCTGGTGTTCGTGGGAACAGCTTTGCACCTAAATGCTTGCTCCGCTGAGTACTGGACTGCGCTGAGCTGCATATGAGTCTGTCTCCTTGGACAGCTGTCTGGTTTTCAGGCAGATAAAGGCACTGGTGTTGCCGCAACCCCCCTGCATTTACTGCCTGGGTGAGTGGCTTCATGCCTCCCTTAGTGCTGCAAATCCATTGCTGTGCTCTATCGGCATTTATGGGGTAAAATCCACACATATGTACAGATAGATTTGTTATCTAATTAGATAAATACAGGAAATACATTGAGGCCTCTGGCTTTCTGCTGGCTTGCTCATTTTTGGTCAATCCCACAGTCTCATCTGAGCTGGAAGGGTGGGAGGCTGCTAAATTCTCCATGGAGAGCTTTTGTCGTCCCTTCCCTCAGCCTGACGCCAGGAGACAAGAAAACCCAGCACATCCTCCAGGTTTGTCTGCAAGAGCCAGCCACCAACAAAGCAATTTTAATGTCTGGTTTTTGACCAGTGGCTTGCTGGGGTTTTGATTTGCAAAATAAATGATTGGGCTCGGGGGATTTCCAAAGTGCTGACCCGAACTCCCCAAACACAGCTGCATGCTGTTGCTCCAGAGGGAGTGAAATTCCCACTGTCTCTGCTTTCTGCGGGGGCAGATTTTCAAGGGTGTAACAAAAGGGAGCTTTTCCTGGATTTCTTTGTTGCGCAGTTCAGATCTTTCCAGACTTCCTTTGGGTGCATTTCTCCATGGAGACCCAGGATACTTGCATAGAATGACATTCACATTCATGGTGGATACTGAAGCCCACTTCCCACTAGTAACTCCAGAAAGGGATTAGAGCTGTGTGGGCACCTGATTACGTTTCCCTGCGACACCCACTCCCTTGCAGGGCCCTTGCAATGAGATCTAGCAATGCTAATGCACTACCCTGCTAGCTGTTAGAGCCTGGCTAAGGGGAGCAGGGTAGAGAGAGGCTGAAGCAGCCTGTTGTGGCCCTTAGCTTCCATTTATACCCAAGCAGTCCTGGCCTCCCTCAAAGGCAGCTTCATATAAAAATGAGTTTCTGTCTCAACAGGAAGGCATCAAGCCTCTCTTCTCTAGTAGCTCCATTTTAAAAATAATTCCATATTTGTTCAGTTTAATATTAGTCTTCTATCAGCAAAAGCACTGCTTACTGTTACTATAATTATTCATACAATTTCTACATATTTATTTTGGTAAGACCCACCTGCTGGATTCTTAGGGGTTTACAAACTGCTGCTCAGTGACGTTCAAAACAGAAACCAACAGGAAACAGCATGTGGCTTATCTCAACTTTTCCAACTACTCTGCTAACCTCACTAAAGACCCATCTAGTCAAGAATACAAGAATATATTTCCTTATAAATCCATACATAATTAGATAGTAAACAACTGATTCTTTCCCATGACTACCTTTGAAACAGAGGTATAGAACTCAATTCCTTTTGAGGAGTTTTGTGCTCAACAGCTTTACAGATCCAAATGGTTGTGGGTAGGCCTCAACATGTGAAAGCCAGAGAGACGCAGGAACTTCTCAACATGTTGGGAGGTAAGAGAGAACACTAGCACCGGCGTAGTCAGTGTTTGCATAAAGATTGTCAGGACTAGGAGCCAAACTCATTATTCTGGCTTCCAGTATCTTAGCAGACTGATGGGACCCAAGGCGTGTTGGGTTGTCAGGAGAATAGAAGAGGTACCTTCTTGAAGACTTGAGGTCAGTTGTTACTCTGAAAAGCACAAATTAAAATAATCGGGAGGAAAAGTCACTTGTCACTTTTGTGGCCTCTGGATCTGGGCTGCCCAGAGCCCCAAGTGTAGTAAATCATAGCAGCCCATGAGCACCTACTACAGCTATATTGAACCTGGGTGAAAAACGCTGGTTCCAGTTCCCAGCTCCAGGAACTATTTTTAGTTAATACCACCAGTAATTCTGAGTACTTAATATTTTATAAGAAAGCACATGGGCAAGATCTGAGTCATGACAAGTCCATTCTGTGATAGTACTAAATAAAAAAAATGTGAACTAAGTGTTTCTTCTACTGCAGGTTTCCCATTATCTGCAAGGGGAAAAGATGCATCACGTAGAAGAGAAAAAATGTATGAAAGGTACTGTCACCTAAGTTCTGGATCTCATGCAAAGCGTGGTAGGAAATTAAATCTAATCCAACAACTGAGGTTTGCAGAATTTAAGCAACTTACCAGGTCAAAAAGATGCACAGTAGTCTTCCAGCCATTCTCCTCTTCACCCTGTTTATTTTACTGTGTTTGAAGGCAGAAATGTAATAAAATCCATCATAGGTGGATCCTAAATCCTCTCCTTGCCTTACTGCAAAGAGTCTGTAGACCAAACTTTGTGTTTTGTTTACCTAGAACCATATCCACAAAGGCACCATGCACACAAACACCTCCCCACCTTTGTGAGTCTAGGCCCTGACTCAGTCCAGTGGGGTACAGCCGTCAGCCTTGCACAAACTGTGCATGTCTGTAATAGCTATTATTTACTAAATACAACAGTTACTTTCTGGTATTTTGTGGCATTCTAACTTTCTAGGATATTATTTCCATAATCACTGTTGGTAGATTATAGATGAAACTGTTACAAGTACTATTTTAAGAAGTAATATAGTACATCTGCAGGCAATTTATATAAAAGTACAAATGTTAAGCCACAGTAGCGTCCTTGAACACAATATACAAGGAACTTTGATACTCTAACATAAATCACATGAAGAAAGTGTTCTGTTTCGTTTTTATCCTATCACCCAGAGATTATGTAAATCATTCTTGACACTCAGTAGTCAGGGATAATATTAATAATTCCCAATGAGACCATAATAGTTGGGTTTTTTTTTTCACTGAAGAAATTGAGACAGTAAGCCAAATGGAAATTCACCTATACTGAATACTTATGTTTGGAAAAAACCTAGATGATGTTAAATAAGAGTAATTTCGAATATTGTTAAGTATTTTTATCAGTCCTGTAGTTCAAAGATCTGCAATTATTTTTCAAATGTAAAATTTATTGCAATAAATGGATGATCTGCACAGAATGACAACAAAAGCTTTTTAAACTGAAAATAAACCCAAAGAACTTGGATTCTCTCAAATCATGGAGCGATCAACTTGGTAACACTTGAACATACTGTTTTCCGCATATGCAAAGCAGGACCTCATCATCTGATAAACAACAAAACTCAACTACAGTGTAAAGCTGTAGAAACTACGCGCAGATGGCTGACTCTTGGATCACATCCCACAGCAGCAAGGCAGGAAGACTTCAGTCTTGCAGTGTGACGTGCAGTCTCTGCATCTGGTTCAGCGCCTGGCTGGTTTGGTGGACCTCCTGTTTTGAGCAGTTTGCTTGCAGTGGAGAGGTATGACAGGAGAAGCGTAACTTTTGACCCAAGTACAGCCCACCCCACCATGTTGTAAGCCTCGCCACTGCAGAAAGCTCTCCAGAAACCACACTCTCTTCTCAGCGAGTAAGAGGTTAGGCCCATTTTTAGCAGTGATATAAATACACCACTCCATGGGACACAGGCAGACATTCCTTCCCTTGAGTTTAGGAGTCCCTCCTGTTGCTGGAAAAGGCTATTGAGAAGGTAAACAAATTTCACAAGTAATTTCAAACATGAAACTTTTCTCTCTTCTTATGATTCTTAACAGCATTAGTAGAGAGTAGCAGGGTAGAAACGGGGACATGTATGTACAGAAACATTTCAGCAGCAGCATTCTTGCGGATATGTAATAGATTACTAGATACAAGACAATAATGTTGCCAGAACAGTTATGAGTAACAAGTAAGTAAATCCTGGCTTCTATCTTAATTTACCAATTCAACATCAGTACTGCAGACAAAAGGGTAAATTGGTATCAGATGAAATTCCAAGGAATTGAGTTATATTAGGAATTAGTCAAGATGAGGAGGAGCCTCGTGGCTTCACTAGCAAAACATGTCAGCATTTGCCAGAAAGAAACCACCTGCTGCTATTAAGAAATCAGTTTGAAAATGTCATCCTCTTTCAAGACAAATTTGGTTTTATTTTTAAGTCATTGAAAGTTAACTGGCTAACACAGAGCTAGTATTCAGATTTTCCCTTGTGTAATTGCTTAGAACAAGCCAAAGACAAAAAACAAAACACAAATAAAAATTCTTGGAGAGCACCGTAAAAAGCAGCAACGTATTACACAAACACCACTTTAACATCTCTGCTGTAATCCGTAGTTATAGGAGATCAAATCCCCTTTTTGATTTTTTCAGCTTCATTTTTTTTGAGTCAAGGCTAAAGAAATGTTTACAAGGGAATAAAAAGGAAGTCTGTATTTCTAATTCCAAAGTTAAAAAAAATTACAATATCAAACTATCAATCTTTACAGCTTTCATTCAGTTTTATAAAAAAATAATAGTATTTTATATATCCATAAATACAACACAGACGCCAAAACATACACCTATGGTTCTACTTCATTAATATCCTCATCAGGGCAACAATAGTATTCCACAAAACAGATCTGTCCATCTTCATTCCTAATCATATACTGCAGTGAAAGAAATCCTTGAGCATCTGTTCGAATGGACACTTTACAAGATAAAGCCAGTGCCTTTGTAGATGGTTTAAGCAAGGAAATCTTGTACCTGTTGGGGGGGGGGGGGGAGAAAAAAAAAAAAAAAGAGTCCTCTGAAAAAAATACATTGTGCAGAGACGAGCTGAAACATCACTCCCAATTAAAGCCACAGAATAACTAAAAAACAATTAGCAATGTGCTAATTTGTCTTTTCCTGGTAACAACATCAGACAGACATTGTTATTGCTTGGCTTTTGATCACACACACAGACTTTATCAGATGGGAGTATTTCCCCGCCCCCCCCAATACTAGTGAAATAAATGTTACAGTAATGCAAAAACAGTTTTTTAAACTTTCCAGCAAGAACACATGACCTGCCACAGAGGGCACTGATCACAGACTTCCTAACCTGTTTGTCTGGGTCTGATTACAGTGGAATGCCTCCATCAAGTCAGAGTCCCTAGGGTAGTCCAGATGTGCACTTCCTGCATTTCCAAAAGTGGATAACCTGGAAGACAAAAGGCACCATCTCAAAATACCTGATCACAGTTCTGTAAAACCTCATCAGTCATTGTGCATATCTCAATGGCTGTTTCACAAAATACTATTGTTGGCTTTTTTTTTATTTAGTTAAAAATGCTAAACTGCCTGCCTCAGTGTCACATTTACCAGGTTGTCAATACATTCGTAACTATGTTAATCAGATTACATACTGTGATTTGCCATACTCATTACAATTCTTCTTGAAATAACGCAGTATTCTAAAATAGCTCCCCGCTCTTCACCCTGAAAACTTCCAGTCCTTACCAATGAAGGCTAAGCATGAACATTTTTGAGTTCAAAGCATGGTTTCTCGTACCTGAAGTAGGGTTTATCTGGAGACATGGTAATCTGCAGAACTTCACTGGTCATATCCAGTTCGGCAAATGCTTGTCGTAGCCCCTCTGACTGCAGGATAATTTTATTAACAACCTTTGTACTGCAGAAATCAAAGTCTAACAATTCATCAGGTTCCTGAGTATTGATTTTGCACACTGTCACTACTCCTCCTTCTTCCAAGAACAGCATCAAGGGATAACCATAACCACGATAACACATCCTAAGGGCTGTCGATGTTCCTGAAAAAGAGAATGAAGTATACGTTCTTCAGAAAGCTAGCTAGCACATGTGATCACTTTAAAAAACTCACATTTTCCTGGCATATGGGGCACAGATCAATTTGATTTAGCATGGTTGGTCCAGCCTCCAATGCACTAATGTAGCATGCTTAGTGCAGCCTCCTAGACACCCTATGAAGTGCTAATGGTCATGCAGCAAAATGAAATCATTTGTATGTAGACACCAGTTCAAATCCAACTCGTGTCATGTACCAAACAGATAATGCTAGCTGTGACAATGAAGCTAGGTATGCTACAAATAAACTGGAAAATCCTCCATGGTCCTGAGGCTCTCTCTGGCTCGCATCGTCTTTTTTTACTATTCTTGTTACTTGTGCAACCCGAACTGAAATTAATGCAGCTTGGCTTGCATTACCATCACATCCTCCTTTTGCTTGGTAATCATAATCTGAACACTTGGTTTCCCAAAATCACAGTGCTGCTTAGTACAGTTGATTTAGGTATTTTGGTCAGAATCACAACAGAAACAGTAGAGGAATGTGGAGTTCAACACAGAGCTGCAATGGAAGCCCAAAAAAACTGTCATGGTATCACTCTGCTCTGCATGCATACACAGTGCATCCTGTAGCACCCATACAGTCATGCGAACTTGTAGTTATTTTTGCCTGTGAAAGTATTTTTTGAACCATCATCAAGTAAAAAAAAAAAATCTAGGAAATAAAATTCACTAAGGCGTGGGTTTTTTTGCTGAAACAAATGGGCTAATGCAATTCAATATTTGTACAGATAATTGTGAAGGCAGCTTCCCACGCACCTCTGTCACTGAAAAGACTACAAACAGGATCAATAATAGAGCCTACTTGATTTTTGTAATTCACACACTTAATAAGCAAGATCTAAAGTGCTCTTACAGCACCTGAAGTGCTCCCCAATCCAGCCGCAGATTTCTTCTGAGACCTTAGGTAAGTATCATTCCTCAGTACCTCTTCTGCAAGGTGGAGATAATACTCACAAAACACATGCAGGTGTAGCCTGAAGAAGCAAAGGAACAGAAGGTGCCACATAACAGCTATTGCACTGGGAGGAGGAGTGCTGCGAACTGACAGTGCTACCTGGAACCCCTGCAGACTTCAAGCCCAGTAAATCTGCACCAGAACATTTCCTAATTCGTGCACATGCTTGTTAGTGTTTCTGAGGTAACTGGATGTTCCAGGCTTGCACAGGCCACAGAAATATTGGAAAAGAGATCACATTTATTACTGAGTTGATACAAAATTTTTTGTTAGCAAGACAAACTCCAAGCTATGTCTATACTGTCTCTCAGTGTGCTGATTTCTGCTACAGTTCACAGCAATTAGTCAGCCTGACAAGCCGTACCTTTATAAGCCCAATGCGGATCCCCTGTGGCCTTAAGATATACTGACAGCTTTCATGCTTTTTCAGCTCAAAGTGACAGCTCTGACAAGAGGCTGCCCCAGCTTGCCCAAGCAGTAGTCTTTTAGCCTGATGCCAAGGGTATGTGCAGCCTGCCCTGCTGGGCACTTAAAAGCATGTGACAGTGCAAAGCACTGTCCCTAGCAGAGGGAACCATGGCGCCTTTACGTCCATACTGACTACCCTGAACGGGCTGCAGAGAAACTATTCTGCCAGCTGTGCCCAGGTTTTCCTCTTCAGTGAAGGGCACTTGGGAACAAATTAATGTTTGTGTGATGTGGATGATCTGGGCTCTGGACAGAAAACAGATTGACAGGAAAGGCAGTCATGGCATGTGTCAGTCCTAGGGTACAGCACTGGCCTCAGAGTCAGAACTCCAGCCTAAACATTGTACAACTTGCCAGAGATGCCCGAACAAATTACTTGACATATCTTCTTACCAAGATTACAGAAAGTATTTGAGATCTTCAGCCCCAAACCAGAGCAAGGGTACAAACTGGGGCTGTTCATTGGACCTCATGCCACAAAAAGGTTGTATCCCAAAACAAGCGGTTCTTTTGTGCCTCAAACAGATCCAGGAAACACTGTCTTTACAGGAAGACTCGTCTGTTTCTCAGTTACTCTAATAGCGTCACACAGACATACACCTTTATTCCATCTTCCAAACTGAATCGGCCCTTTTTAGCCTCTCTTGCTGCAGCAGTCCCTGACACACTGGCTAGGCTCACATCCATGAGCTCCTTTCTTCTCTCCATCAACTACTATCACAGCACACACTTGTATTAGCTTAAGTAAACAGGATGGATCCTGCTTAACAGCGATAGCTGCCATGCTCAGAAGGACTTAAGGTGAGGAAGTCAGAAGTTCTGCCAGGACTGGAAATCTCCCTATAGCTATGCACAGGTTTCACTATGTGATTACACGATACACGTACACTGTCAAGGTAAACATGCACCACACCTGGCAAAGAGCTGGTACCAAAAATGGTCAAGCAGTCGAGAAGAACAGACAAATTGATCCGGAATGTCACCGATTCCTCCTGAACAGAAAATTCCTGAAAAATATCTGCCTGTAAGAGAAAGGAAAGAGATGAAGAGACTTTCTGCAATTAATTTACAGTTTACACTTACTTCCTTAAATTCAGTGCTTTCACTTTCAGAGATCAGAGTCTTCATCCTCAAAACTAGTAAAATAAAAACAGGTCACGGTTGAAACAAAGTAGCATGGCATGAGCATGAAAATCTAAACACTTATCTTTTGTAGTTTAAAAACAAGCTATAAATGTTAAAGCCTAAAGCTGCCTACTTCTGCAGCTGGAAACATTCAGGGAACTATGTAATATGAGCGTCACCCCTCTCCAGAAACAATACTTACTTTTCTTCACTCGGAGAGTGAATAAACATTTCAGGTAATAAAAATATGTAAGAACAGAACAGAACAGTGAGTTCACCACATTGAAACGTGCTGAAACACGCCTCTGACTCATCTGATTGGTCCTAAAGTACTCCAGGCTACTCCGTTCACCACTGGGCACTAGCTGCTTTTGCTAACTGCAGGAACAGAACATCTCAGAAATAAAGCAGGGTGATGTGAGCTGCTTTTGAAAAAGCAGTTACAAACTTTTATTGGCAGCCCAGAGGGCAAACAGCATCCTGGGGTGCACCAAACACAGCATGACCAGATGGTCAAAAGAGGTGATCATCCTGCTGTATTCAGCATTGGTGCAGCCCCATCCTGAGCGCTGTGTGCAGGTCTGGGCCCCACAATTTAAGGAGGATGTGAAGGTCCTTGAATGCCTCCAGAGGAGGGCAACAAAGCTGGTGAAAGAGCTGGAAGGGCATGTCCTATGAGGAGCTGCTGAGGACTTTGGGCTTGTCTAGTCTGGAGAAAAGGAGGCTTTTTTGAGGAGGGGAAGTAGAGTGGGAGGTGCTTGTCTCTTCTCCCTGGTATCCAGTGATAGGACACGTGGGAATGGTTCAAAGCTGCACAAGGGGAGGTTTACAGTGGACATGAGGAAGCATTTATTTTCCAGGAGTGTGGTCAAACACTGGAACAGGCTTCCTATAGAGGTGGTTGATGCCCCAAGCCTGTCAGTGCTTAAGGGGCATTTGGACAGTGCCCTTAATGACACGATTTAACTTTTGGTCAGCTCTGAAGTGGTCAGGCAGTTGGACTACATGATTGTTGTAGGCCCCTTCCAACTGGAATTATTCAGAGGTAATGGAGGCCCCATCCCTAGAAACATTCCAGGTCAGGTTGGATGGGGCTCTGAGCAACCTGATCAGGTTAAAGGTGTCCCTGCTCACTGCAGGTGGGTTGGGCTAGACGATCTCTGAAAGTCCCTTCCAACCCAAAGCATTCTATGATTCTATACTGAACAGCTCATTATTCTCAAAGGAACCTCCAGACACTGTTCCTCTGTTCCTGCCCACATGTGCCCATTGCTTAACTTCCACTAGCACATGCTTGCCACTTCATGAGCCAGCTTAACTCACTCAAATAAAGCTAACCAAACCAATACAGCACTAGTGTAAAGAAGGACTGTAGAGCCAGGAGCAGGAGAAAGCAAGGGGAGATGCAGGAACAGGGAGACTCAGGCTTCTCTCCTTTCACACACAGCGCAGGCTGCAGTTTCACAGTTAGCAAAGACAGACTCAAAAGGACAAAAGACAGGTAAAGGTGGGTTTGAGTTACTACCACAAAATATTCCTTGCCCCTTCCACTTACATCCCCAGCATCACACATGCTTTCAAAACCAGGAACCAGCACGACACCTGTTCTTATGAACAAAGCATTTACAAATTGGATATGCATTAAATAAAACCAAATAACCAACCAAAAAAACCCACTCAGAAAGTAAACCATGGTTAAAAGAAGAAAAAATTAAAAGTGCACCTTAAAAAATTAAAATGAAGGAAAGGCAGCAGTCACAGCTACGAAAGAGGTCGCAGAAAAGTGAGGAAGGCTGCTTTTAATCTTATATTAAATGCAAGTTAAGAAGAAATAATTTAGATTGCTATCTAAAGCTGCCTATATGGTGTTCAGCGTAGCTGAGATCCTCTATGTGTAACCTCTCAAGCACCCTTTCTGGACAAAGTTCAGCACAGACAAAATGAGAGAGCAAAAGCAGCAGACCACTGCTCCAGTCTTGTGATGAAGCACACACTCACACCCAGTGGCTGGAAGCTCTCAGCTTAGCCCAGCTGATATGCTGTTAATGAGTGTCTGTGAATTCATGCTCCTCCAGACTTGACTTAAATTCACCCTTTTGGCTGTGGGATGAAATTTAATAACAATACTTCAAGATAGATGCTTTACGAACTTGCGCATGCATTAAGAACAGGATGGTCAGAAGGAGCAAGTGGGCTTAGCAGGTGCCAACACATTAAGCAAGGGTGCAAGCGCATCACACAAGCAGGCATGCATGAACAAACAAGGCACTGAGCTCGGCCTTTCAATAGCATCGACACCTCATAAATGACCACAGCCTCATCATAGCACTTCCTTCACGCCAGCTGCCGCAGCTATGCCGTGATTTCAGCAAAGTTTCCCCTCCTCCGGGGGTAAACTTGCCGTACACCTCCCCCACCACGTAACCGGGGACTTTCTAAGGTCTGTAACAGCGGCGCCAGCCCCTCCTCAGCGCTGACGCCGGGGAGGGGCC